TACCGAAAGCTAAAAGAAGTAAGCCTACACTAAGATTTTTAAAACATAAGAAAAAAAAAGTTTTGATTGTATATCAGAAAGTAGTGATGATGTTGATTTGCAAGATTATGTAGAAGAAAATGAAAGATATTTAGATAGCGAGAAGAAATTTGAAATGTTTTGTAATAATATTGATGAGCAGACCTGTGGAAATTTCTAGCAACTAGGCCTTAATCAAATTGTAAAAAATGTTGGTGAATATGTAATCTTTAAGTATGAAGAAGAGTATTTTCCAGGAAAAATCTTAAGCTTTACAGATGACCAGGTTGAAATTTCATCGATGCAGAAATCTTTGAAGTATTAGAAGTGACCAGATAAAGCAGATATTGGAAAATACGATTGGGATGACGTTATTGGTGCAATTGAAGAACCAAAAATTATTTCTAAAAGAGGATTTTTTCATGTGAAATAATTGCAGCATTTATGGGACTTGTTATTAGCTGCAAACTGTATATAATTTGTTTATAAACCTTATCTGCTATACGAGACGATATCCTTACATTGATTCTGGTTTCAAATCCGCTAAATTTAAAGTATTGTTTAAGGTTTCTTTGAAAAGTGTAAAGATATGCAATCAGGCCCAGATAGCCCACCATGATTTCTACCAGCTCTTATGAGATTTTAGAGTGGCTGTTAATTGAGGCTCCAGTTACCCCTGTTAATTGGAGTAACTGGACCCACCGTACGTACCATTTTATTATTTATTGCATTATTACTGTAATACTCTCAATCAAGTTAAGGTTTCATAAATTTAAACAAAGAAGAAGAAAAGAATCGAGGCCTTCGAACTCTGGTTATACTGCAAAGTATTAAAAATATTTATTAAAAATCCTTTGTAAAAGATATATATTTAAAAACCCAAATGGGCTAAGTTAGACAGACAAAACGTTTTCAGAATCCATATTCCATCATCAGTGTCTAGGAGTACATGAATGTAGCCACTAAATGTATGGGTAAAACCCGTTAACAAATAATTAATTACAGTTAGTTTACAAAATTTCTTATAATGATTTAAGATGTTAAAGTTACCGTTGGATTAGGTAACATGGCGACATATGACTCCACGTTGAAGTTGCTAGTCTTGAGACGGTGTGTCTGCGAGGACTGTATGGGAGCAACTTCCTCGCTCCTCGCAGACACACCGTCTCAAGACTAGTAACTTCAACTTGGAGTTATATGTCGCCATGTTACCTAATCCAACGGTAACTTTAACATCTTAAATCATTATAAGAAATTTTGTAAACTAAATGTAATTAATTATTTGTTAACGGGTTTTTACCCATATATTTAGTGGCTACCTTCATGTACTCCTAGACGCTCATAATGGAATATGGATTCCTAAAACGTTTTGTCTGTCTAACTTAGCCCGTTTGGGTTTTTAAATATATACCTTTTACAAAGGATTTTTAATAAATTTTTTAATATATGGTATACAGCCAACTACAGGAACGTAGATTCCTTGTGGATTATTAAAAATATCATGGACTGATAGAATTACAAATAAAGAAGCACTGGAGAGGGTTGGTAAAGAAACATAACTAATCACCACTATACAAACCAGAAAATTGGAATACCTAGCCCACGTGATAAGGGGGCCAAAATATGAAATTTTGAGACTCAAAATAGGGATATATTCAAGGAAGAAGATCTGTTGGTAGAAGGCAGAACTCACGGTTGAAGAATCTACGTGAATGGTATCAATGCAGATCGATTGATTTGTTTAGAGCAGTAAGTTCAAAAATAAAAATAGCCATTCTGATTGCCAACTTCCGTAGGGAGACGGCACTCTAAGAAGAAAAATTTTAAACAGTATTAAATAAAGGTCATGTTTTTATACAAATAGTTTAAAATTTACTTATACTTTAATCATTAGGTAACTAAAAATCTGAGCCGAACGCAGATTTGTTGTAAAATCATGGCCCAATTACCCCATTGGAGTTTTCATTGATAGTCCCAAAAATAAGCTTAAATACTTTAAACTAAACTAAAGTTTATTAAATTATCAAATTATTTAAAACAAAACATATAAATCGTTATAGCAACGTAATGCGAAAATCAAGTTCTTTAAAAGCAATAATTGTATTAATAATGATTAGCAATTCTTTCAAAAGGTCGAAATACGCGCATTAATTAAGTTCTATGTGTTAAAATTATAGAGCGGACAATTAAAAATAAATAAAAACAAAAAACTTTAAAAGGTCAAATATTTCAACTATGTTTTTAATAACGACACAAGATATCATAAGCAAATTGAAAAATTAATACCCTGTCATTTTTGTAACATTTAAATTGTTCCCATAATGTTTGTTCAGCATTTTAGTCATTAATTTCTATATTTCTAGTTTTTTGCCTATTTAATTTTGTTAGTTAAAATAACAACATAATCCGTATTTAAGTTTGTTGAAAGCCTGAACAAAATCGTCATCTATCAAAATTAAATAGACAGGCGTACACAGCAGTCTAAATTTTTGTAGGGACCGACAAAATGAACTTATTTCCGGCAACTTACCATCTTACACAATTAAGGATAATTTAGTGTAAAAACTCTATCATTATTTTAATAATTAATTAGTTTGTAAGGGGCTCAAAAAGCGTGACGAACCGCAGAGGTGTACTTCAAACTTAACTGATACAGTTATTTTTGTATTAGAATTAGAATTAGAAATTAAAATTTCGCAAAGATAGAGCAATAAGAAATAATAATTAAAAAGAGTAAAATGTTTACAGAGACTCAACTTCTGAAAAATCACTATCAGACTCAGAATTATCATCACTGCAATCACTACTACTGTCTTCATCAAGATTAATCATAATTTCATCAAAAACAATCTAAAAGAGGTTCCTTTTTCCTAAAAAATTGTTCGAAATTTTTAGCGTGTTCACACCGTTTTTTCCACTCTTCATTTGAAAATGTTTGAAATAATTCATCGCAAAACGATCCACAGAACTAAACTTAAAGTCAACGTTTTTATCGGCCACGTATTTCTTAAGAGCTGCCCATACTAATTCTATGGGGTTGAGATCTGGATGATACGGAGGCAGCCGTAATACCGAATGACCACTAATATTCAGTATTTTGTAAATTTCATACACCTTAAATCTGGGTTTATGGATTTGTACAATGCTGTAAAGATCTGCTTTTAACATATCTTCTGAAAAAGGCAGATTGCGTTGTCTTAGCCACAATTTCATTACATTTTTCGTTGAACTCATGTTAGGACACATTTCAACTTGCACGTTGTGATAAGAAGCATTATCAACAACCAGTACACTACGTGGACGAAGATTGGGAATAAGCATTTCCTGAAGCCATTTTTTATATTTTTCGTAATTCATTTCACTGTGGTAGTCACCTGTTTTTGTGTTTGATTTAAATTTCAAATTTTTCAAGCATTTTTCACAAAACCGTTTTCACCACCTGCATGCACTATTATCAGTCTCTGACCTTTTGAAATCGGAGCACGTAATCCCTCATTGGAATTGTCGCTCCAACTATTCGAGTGAGTATGGGAAGAATGAATGCAGGTTTCGTCCATGTATATGATAGGACGCTTCTCTTCTCGTAATTTTTTAATATCTCGAAGAAAGTTACGTCTCAACTGTAGGATTTCCGGTTTTTCCATTAAGAAAACTCTGCCGTAGACTGTACCGACCGAACTTTACACGTTGAATTGTTGAGTTTGGCTGGTATATTTCTGATAAATTTAGTGCGCTTCAGGTGGGCGTGGCGATTGTAAGATTTTCAAACTTCTTTCTATGTTTGACAAATAATATTACTTACTATAATTACTATAGTTACTTACTTATTACTTTTAACCTTACAAGTCTTCTGTATCTTATAAAGGATCTATTTCTATTATCTTTCTGAAAATATTTCCATATGCTTCGATGTTCTACTAAATCAAATCTTTTATCTTTTTAACAGACCTAATAAAATCAAATTTGAGGTTTTATGTGACCGGCAACAGCTGATTTATCATCTTTTGGTTTCATCTGAGAAGCTGCGGTCTGACAGAACGTAGAGCAGATTTCTTCATCGGCGAACAGAAATAGAAAATATTTAATGGAAAAAGACAAAACATATATACGGGAATCAACGCAACGTGGAATACCGTTTTTCCCCTCAATATTTGTTGTTTACGATCGCTGGGATACGGTAAAACTGTCTATTTCTGGTCGAAAGGAAATCGGAAGCTGATGCATAGACTAATAATTGTTATTTATTATATATATTTTGGAGACAGCTATCGCCGTATTCCCGTTCGCCTCCGCCAATCCTTCCGGTCCAAGGCATGCTCCTCCTCCAAACCTCTTGATTCCATCGCTGTTCTAATTCCTCTATTCCATGAGCGTCGAGATCTACCTCTTTTTCTTCTTCCAGGATGCTTCCATCTGTGAAGTTTTTGGGGCCAACGTTCGTTAGGCATTCTCAATAGGTGTCTAAATCATTGTAAACCTCTTCTTTCTATTCTGTTAATGACCGTTTCTGTAGCATTCATGTTATTTCTTATAGATGCGTTGGTCTTCCTTTCCTGCCTTGATGTTCTAGCACTTCTTGTCAAATAATCCATTTCAACTGCCAACAATATTCTCTTCAGGTCTGCATTAATTGTCCATACTTAAGAGCCATAACTAAGGACTGATTCAACAATGGTTTGTCCCATTCTTCTTTTGTTCCTTTTGGAAATGTTGCGATCCCACCATAAGGTGTTCAGACATCCTTCAATTTTACGTCCCTGATTAATTCAGTGTTTAATTTCGGTTTCTCCCAAGCCGTTCTTATCAATAAGTGCACCTAAATATTTAAATTTTTCCACTTCCTCGTTTATCAACACTTCAAACCTTGCATCTGAATTGATAACTAAATATTCTGTTTTCTTCGTGCGGACTTGTAACCCCCATTTTACATTATCTTTATAGACGCTTTATCATAAATTCTAGATCATCAGAATCTAAGTACGTCATTTCCTATGGGGAATATCATTCCATGGCAGTGGTTTTTCCAATTTTGGAGGGCTGCCTCAATATATAAATTAAACAGTAAGGTTGACATACTGCATCTTTATCTTAATCCTTTAGTTACTTTTATTGGCTCTGTTAATTTATTTCCGATTTTTAGGTAAGTACTGTTATCCCTGTATCCTTCTGTGATTATTCCTAAAAGGTATGGACTAATGCCGAGTGGTTGTAAAGCTTACCACAATTTAAGTCTTGGAACTGTATCATACGCCTTTTTTAGGTCGATGAAGGCTAGATGTACTTCGGTACCAACCGCTATTCTTTTTTCTATTAATTGTTGGAGTATAAACAAGTTATTAGTACAAGATCTTCCAGGCGTGTTTGGAATATATATCCACTTTGGTCTTCGCTAATTAGATATCCTACATTATCTTGTATTTTTCCATTTATTATCTTTCCAAACAATCTCCCGCCAATAGGTAAGACACTTAATCCTTTGTAGTAGTTAGGATCATTTCGATTACCCTTTTTAAAGATAGACACTTGGTGAGCGGTTTTCCATTCAGATGGTAGTTTAATTTGTTGACAGCATTGATTTATTAGAAAAGTTATTATTTCTATTAGGAGTGGACCTCCTGCTTTAAGTATCTCTACAGATATATTGCCAGGTCCTGGAGATCGCCCGTTTTTCATTTTAATTAAGATCGTTTTTAGTTGTAGTTGTTAATGTTACTATGTGTTTGGCTCTCCATACTATATTTCTCTCCCATATATTCCAATCTGGACTTTTGGAGTAAATTTTTATAGTAATTTTTTCACTTTTTTATGGGAATTAAGTTGCTTAAGGAGTTATGGGTGTTTTTCTTTAGATTAGTGATAGTTCTCCATGCTTCCGTAGTCTGAGAACCACCAATTAAATTTTCAACTTGGACTAATTTTTGTTCCCAGAAATTGTTTTTTGCTTATTTTATTTGATTGCGTACTTCTCTGTTTTTCCTTTGATATGTTACCCTATTGCTAGATGTTTTATTTGTTAGCCATTTCTTATATATTTTGTTTTTTTCTTGTATCATTTCTTTTACATTTTCTGTTTTCCATGGTGGTTCGTGGTGTTTTTTGTCGTTGTTTTCTGTTCCTAATACTTTATAAGCAATTTTTTTATTATCCTTTTGAGCTTGCTGTATTCTTGTTCTACATCCATATTTCTTTCCATCTCATCCTTTCGTTCCTTTTATAATCTAGATTGAAAAAAATGTTTAATACTTGGTTGGAATAAAAGGTACAATTTATAATTATATCTCCGTTTTGTAATGTGTAGTATTTAACTCTAACTTTCTCTAACTTTCAGTTGTCTGTTTGTAGTATTGTTTAAAGGGGCACAAAAGATTAGCTAAGAGAAAGTAGTGATCTATCCCACAATTAGATCCACTTTTACTCTGCAGTCTTTGCACTTAAATTTTGATTTTTGTCTCATTATTATATAGTTTATGATCGACTTCTGTTGGACTTGTTATCACTGTATGAATTACCCAACTTACTAAAATTTTTACCGCCACCACTGGTGGACAAAATTAAACTAAATCCTAAATCTCGAGGGGACACGCTCCATTGGGGTAGTTATCAAAAAGTAAATATTTATTAATTTCACACCAAAATGGAGTGCCAACCGTGTTCTCTTTTCTTTCCACTATTAACTATTTTCTATTTCTCTTTGCCGACGTGAACCAGCGAAGGAAGCCTTTCCACGTTCTGTGAGGTGCGGCTTCAAGCTTCAAGCTTGAACGGACCAAAAAAGCAAAAGTTGAACAAATATGGAGTTAAAAACTTTATCCACCAACCACGATAATATTCTACATGCCACCACACACGATCACCGTATCATCATCAGTGCTGCTACAACCCTAGTTAATCGACCTTCCACAGAAAGGTGGGCCGAAAAAGGCAAGATTTTTTTTTTGGAAAATGCAGTTGGCATAGTAAAAAAGTTGCAAAATGGGTAGAAAATCAGACATTGTTTTCTTGTTTTCAATTAAAAAAAAAATTAGCCGTGCCCCAAGAAGTTGAAAAAAAAAATTTTTTTGATAACTTTTTTTTTAAATTCGCTCCATGCGTAACCATGGTAGGGGTATCTTTAAACGATGTCAGCGTGCGTAGCGGCGAAATATGATAAAATTGGACGTTTTTTTTACGCATAAATTTGATCAAAAATGGGTGCAAATATATGTTGCGTATTTAATTGCGGTAATAAAAGCAAAAATAGTAAGTGTAATTTTTATAGGTTTCCAAAGATTACATATAAATTAGAGGAAAGAAAAAGATGGATTCGTGCTATTAATATGAAAAAGTAAATATCACATAATCTCATTTTTATGCAATTGAAATAGGAAAAATTTAAATAATATACCTCTAATGATAGTTCATAAGACTTCAAGCTAACTGCAGCCTGCCTGATAACTTTAGCTTTTATATCATAACTTTTACTATTATTGTTTTTAATTATATGCTCTTCCACATGACAAACGTGATTTACCAGTACCATATTTTTCCTTTTCTTAATACTAGATGCATTTTATACATAACTGGTAAAATATAATTAAAAAACTAATTATTAATAATTTTCAATTTCGTATGCATTTAAGGTATTTTTAACCTCAAATTGGGAGGTCCAAAGCTGTCAGATGAAGGCGGTAGGTGTCGCGTCAGTCGCGCCAGAGCGAATAGCATAAAATTAAAATATATTAGCCCATTACTAATGGAAAAAAAAAGTTATTTTAAAATTTGCTTAATTAATTTAATATAATATAAATTAATAATATATATATATATATATATATATATATATATATATATATTAAATTAATTTAATATACACAGAGAAAACGCATTGTAATAAAAAACTATTGCAGAAATACATAGCTCTTTGCTTGAAAAAATGATAACTTATTTAAATTTTACAACAAAATTGTATTTTTATTATCAGTAATTCAAACCACAACTCACTACGGAGAGGTTTCTGCATGTCGAGTTGCACCGGCCTCCCTCCCTTATGTAATTTAATAAATCTAAATTTAATAACAGTAAAAAAAAACTCAACTGTTATTTGATGTTTTTACCTTTTTAGCTGTAAAATACTCTGACTTGTTTTCGAACGAAGGTAAATTTTGTCTTTCCTCTACTAACTCTTATAAAACCGTCCCTCGCCGAGTGGCCACAAACTTTGCTAGATACCTCTGTTATAATCTTTATACATCGTTCAACGCCTTGAGTGGGACGTGGTAATTTCTTCTGCTTCTTCTTCACTGGCTTTACAACTCTACGATCTTGCTCTTCTACTTCCCATTGTTGTACCCCAATTCTAGATAAATCGGCTTCAACATCATCTTTCCATCTTTTTCTCGGTGTGTCTACTGATCTTTTACCATCTGGTCTTTCAAAAAACACTGTCTTTAACACTCTGTCATCCTCTGATGGTACCATGTGACCTGCCCATCTTATTCGGTTTGCCTTGATATGTCTAACTATGTTTTCAGTTCCATACAGAGTCACCAATTCAGCATTGTGGCGTCTTCTCCAATCCTCTGTGAATTCAACTCTTTGATGGCCAAATATTATTCTGAGAACCTTTCTTTCAAATATTAGAAGAAAAGAAAAGAAGAAAAAGAATTTAAATTTTCTTTTTAGCAGTTTCGATCTTAATAATGTTGAAAGGGAGCATAATGCTCTATTTCCCGCAGCTATCCTTGCTGAGACCTCTTTTTCTATGTGGTTGTCAGCTGTGATTACCACCCCCAGGTATTTAAACTACTTTACTACTTCGAAGTTGTGATCAATAATACTGATATTCTGCCTAACTCTTGGTCTTTCCACAATTTGGATTTTTGGTTACTACCACGTATTTCGTTTTTTCTTAATTTATTCAGAGACTCACACTACCTGTTTCCTCCTCGAGCTGTGAAAACACCTCTCTCACGTCTCTTATGGAATGCGTGACTGCATCTATATCACCAGCAAAGTTTAGCAACAGTTTTGATCCTTGATCAGCAAATCCTCCTGTCAGCTCAGACGATATTTTACTTATTGCATATATTTTAAAGCAAAATTGAACAGCAACGGTGACAAGGGGTCCCCCTGCGAAGTACTGAATTTATACCAAATGGAATCGATGTTCTGCTTCCTATCTTTACTTGCGCATATGAGTGTGTCACGCACATTTGCGTTAATTCAATTAATTTTCTTAGATTCCCATTTCTAACATTGCTATCCACAATTTGCTTCTCTTTATGGAATCATATGCTTGCTGGAAATCTATGAAAATTTGGTGCACATAGCGGTTGAATTCCCAGTTTTTTTCTAACATTTGTCGGATGGTAAATATCTGATCTAGACATAGTTGACCTTCCAGTACGAAAGCCGCATTGGTAGTCACCTAGAATATCTTCCAAATATGGTGTGAGTCTCTTTAGCAAGATAATTGATGATGATGGTAATGATGACCTGGTAATTTGCTTATATTAATAAACGATCTATTCTTAATAGATTCTAACAGTTCTTCACTTTTAATATCCACTGTTAACGGGGGCTCTATAACAGAGCATTCATTCCAATTAAGTATAATTCTCGGCATTTCAATTTATAGCAGGGATTTTAAAAAATCGAACTTTTTCTGGTTGATCTCTAGCCTAATATGCATCGAAAACCAAGTTCTCTAATATGACTTCTCTCGTTGGTAGTCATAGCTGTCCATATATTCTCTGGGTGGGCAAAAAAAGCGTTAGTTTGAATCACTTTACCTATAATTTTTTTTCACTTCTTTAGAAAGGAGTCTTTATTTATCTATGGTTTCCCATAAATGTATGGAGCCATAGTAAATTGAAGGACCCGATTTTATGTAGCATAAAAAAATTCAGTGCTCAACCAAACCCCCCTCCAGGTAAATTCTAGGTGCGGCACTGATTAAAGGTACCTCTGAGGTGTAAGATTGAAGTGTATCGAATAAATTAACAAACAATTACATTCAAATATTTAGGTTTGTATCATGTTTTGAACAAACAATAAAAAATGGTAGGATGTCTAAACGATAGAATATCGCGAAACAAAAACAGCATTGAGACCAAATCATAATCTAAAAATCAGCTATAAAATCCATCATAACGTATTATGAACCTAATAGCTGGATCATAAAAGGAAAAACGAGTGGAATAGTTACGTGCACAAGACAAAAGAATGAACAGTAGTGAGAATAAATCCAATTAATAATAGCTAAATCGCAAGTAGGAAATTGGGCATGGACCATAGGGGAGGTGCATGAAGATGAAACTAGCAATTTGCCTAAAATTAAAAACGAAGAAGAAAAATGTAAATAATGCGCACACTTCAACTTTCTTCTTGTTCTTCTTTCTTTATTGGATAATATCCCAGGAGATAATTTGCCCAGCGAATTCAGGGGGGATATTCTCAGCTTACTTTAGACAATCGAATATTCCCATATAACACTAACTTGAAAATATTTTACATTGGATGAACACTATGTGGAAACTTCTTCTTCTTGGGCCAAACAAGTTAGTATAGGAAAGACAATGCAATACAGGATAAAACTTTTTTCGCTTGGAGGTAGCAACCAAGCTAAACACATACCAGAAATGCTACCAAGGGATGAGAATCAGAGAACCCAGGTCTAAAAAAAAGACAGGAATTTGTTAGGGTATGTTATAGTAAAATATAAGAAAGGAATATATATTATAGATTGATTTTGGCTAGATTAAGAAAAGTAATCAACAAATTTAGTCTTTGAGGATTAAGGTTGAATAGGAGAGAGCAAATCTCTATAAGAGTTTGTAGTTTTGTTTTAACCAATTCTTTGTAGAGCTCAAATGATTTGTATGAACGTTTATTGGACACTCTAGTATAATATGATTCAGAGATCCAATTTGACCATATTCACAGTATGGGTTGTCCCGAATACCTATGCGGAATAAATGAACTGGAGTGGAACAATGGTGCTGTTCTCATGCTAATTACTATGGTAATAATTCTGTC